CCTTCAGTCTCAGAGATTACGATTCTACCTTCTGCGGCTTGGTTTCATCTCAGATCCAATCTCAGAGTGATTTTGACTTCGAAGTTCTCTCTCTCTCTCTCTCTCTCTCTCTCTCTCTCTCTCTCTCTCTCGATTTGGAAGCTCCACCGCCACCACCATCTGCATCGTTGACTAAGGTGAGCACTACCGTCTACAATCTCAATTTCGTTTTCTCTCTCTCTCTCTCAAGCTCTTCGTTCCGTCGATTCTTCTCCTAGGGTTTACATATGTTTAAGATTTCGGATCTGAGTTTTCTCATTCAAAAATATATGTTTGAGATCTGAGATTTCTCATTCAAAAATATGTTTGAGATTTGAAATTTTTTATTCAAAAACATATGTTTCAGATCTGAGATTTTTCATTCAAAAAATATGTTTATGATTTGAAAAAATTTTTCCCATCTGTTTGTATTTTCACTACTTTTTTGATGTCATTGGAGTCAATTTGTTTTTTGTTTTTTTTTTCTTTCCCGATTAAATGTGCTGTATTTTGTATTGCACGCTTTTCTTGCCTTGGATTTGTGGTGTTTTGGTTGACTTTGTATTGAGAATGTATTCGAGCGATGTGTGATAATCTATTTTAAATTAATTCTTCAAAAACATATGTTTCAGATCTGAGATTTTTCATTCAAAAAATATGTTTATGATTTGAAAATTTTTTTCCCATCTGTTTGTATTTTCACTACTTTTTTTATGTCATTGGAGTGAATTTCTTTTTTGTTTTTTTTTCTTTCCCGGTTAAATGTGCTGTATTTTGTATTGCACGCTTTTCTTGCCTTGGATTTGTGGTGTTTTGGTTGACTTTGTATTGAGAATGTATTCGAGCGATGTGTGATAATCTATTTTAAATTAATTCATGTTTTTTCTTTGAATGCAGAGACTACAAATAAAACATAAAATAAAATAAGAATCTCGTTGTTAAAGTAAAGTTTAGAACTTGAAATGTTTATGTTGAATGTACTTCTTTTTTAATTCGTATCAGAACTGAGTGCAGAGTTGTTTGTAACGATTAATTTGTTTGTTAGGAGCAATAATCTACGGAGATTTAGTTTAGAATTTTAATTGGCATGGTTTTAATATGAATTAGTTCAGAAAAATACTCTTTTAAGTGGGCTACCTTGTTAGAGACTCTGTATTTACGTGTACGGTAGTTGTGCAAATAATGGGAGCAATATCATGGCTGGTCTTCACAGTATATTGTTTGCCATGGTATGACCAAGTAGCTGTTTACTGCAATGCATAATATTACTAGAGAAAGGGACTTTGCAGTGACTATACAAAGGCTACCTTTGTCTTGGGGATCACTAATTGGTTATTGTCATGAGTTCTTGTGACTGCATTGTAGTGTTGTAGGTTCTCCATTGTCTTAGGGATCATACTAGTGTAGGAACTCCAATGTCCCAGCTTTGAATTACTACCTACGAGCAGTTCAAATGGCATGACAGTTGTTTCGTTACCTTTTTAAAAAAATAAAAAATAAAAAATGATTGACGTTAGTTTTTTCACAAAGATGAGCATTTTAAAATTATATTTGAAATCTAATTTGAAACAGTGATTGGTTATCTAATTGGAAATAGGGAAATCTGACAAGATCGATGCCTGTTAACAATTTCACCGTATTTGCAGCCAATAAAATAAAGTTAATAGCACCATATTTGCTAATAATGGGCATTTGGTACAACTTTCATCCATATTTGGTCTCCATTTTAGGAATGTAGCATTAGTTCTTTCATTCTTTTGTCTTGCAACTGAATTTCATTTATATTTCTTAATACTATACCATATCTCAAGGTCTTGTTACAACTTTTAAATGGACTTGTTATTGTGTCTACATCGTTTTGGGCCGAGTAAATACCAATGCTGTTTTGAAACTGTGTCAGTGAAAAGATCCAATGGGCTCAATGTGAAGACTGTTTTAAGTCGCGCAAAGTTCCTGCCGATGCTTTTCTTTCCTCAAGATGGACCTGTTTTGAAAACTGGTGGGATCTAGAAAGGTAAAATTGGTATCCATTTCTGCTTCTGAATCCTGGACTTTTTGTTCCTATATACAAATTTTTGTTTTTGTTTTTGTTTTGAGCTATGTTGTTGATTGCATTCAAAACGAGCAATGAAGCCAATATATGTTCCTCATCTCATTGAGGGATGTAAATGTGGATACAGGGCAGGTGCTCTTGCTCCCAAATGGTTTTATAGCATCATGTAATGATTGTGCTTTATGTTTCAAGGCTTTGTGATGTGATTCCAAGGGTTGCCACACTGATCTGAGTGGTTCATATGACAGGCTGTAATGCTTGTATCACTTTATGAACTTGTACTTTCTTGAGTGCTTGACTTTCAATATGATAAAGAATTTCTCTTTATGTAGTGAAGTGGAGATACATTTCTCAGTATGAACTTGTGCTTTCAATATGAAATTTATATAGATAGATGCATTTATATGTTGCTACATTTATTACTCTTTGTTTGAATTGTTTGGATTGGGGAATGAGAAAATAAAAGAAATGATTGAAATTTCTATTTTATGTGCTTTGGTGCTTTTGTTTTGATGAATACGAAAGGAGTATGTGATATATTTATTTTTTTTCTTTATATTTTAGTGGGTAATCTTTTGTATTAATACGTAATCAATCAGTTTATTTTTCACCCAATTTCGCTGTTTTTGGTGATAAATGAAATCCATAATTGATCATTTTCTCTCTATTTTTCATGAGAGAAGAGTTTTTGTTTTTGTTTGTTTGTTTGTTTCTTATCAATTTCTCAACAAATCAATCAATTCAAACAAAGACTGTTAATGGGAATATCTATTTCTCTCTCCTCCCTGTCTTACTCTCTCCTCTGATTTGTAAAAGTAAGTCAAGTTCTAAATATTGTATGGTGTTTGATGTGGGTGTGTAGGGACAGGGCAAAACCCACAAAATACACAAAGGACAGTCGCTATTGTGGTGGGAGGACTGGCTGGTTTTGGGCTTGGAATTGCCTGTTTATTGTTTCTAAAATCAGCTTTTAAGAAGCGAGAAAACAAGTATGGAGGATGATGATGAGGTTAGTTTCCAACCTTCTACTACTCTGTTTTCTTCTTTTGTTTCTCTGTTTTTTTAATTTTCAAAATGAAAATATTCCTCTTGCTATGAAGAATTTATTAAATTTTTTGTTTACAGTTTGGTATTTTGTGTGTGTGTGTGTGTGTGTGTTGTGTGTGTGCAGGGTGAGACTACTATTATGTGCTTAGCTGCTAAGTTGGAGGGGTGTAATGTAAAAGAGAGAAGTTTCGCTTTTTTGACTCTATTTTGCATTCAGATATTTCTTCTCCACCTAGTTCCTTTTTCATTAGTTTTCTTTCTTTTGAACCAAACAGCCCTATCTGTCTAAAAAAATACACATTTTAGTCATAGTTGGCCTTTTTCTTTTGAATGTACATGCACAGATTGAAATATATATATATATATATATCTATTTGTGAATAGTAGCTTTTAGTTGGCATTAAAGGTATGTTCTCCACTTTACTACATAAAGAGCAATTATTAGGTAATTAAACACACATGTTCAAGCGAAATTGTGTTGCCAAGTGATAGTCAATAAAAAACCTTCGTTTTTACCAGTTACTCTAGTGACTAATCTCCAAAAAATTAGGTTTACTCTGGCAAAGAAGCAGGAGAATATTAGGTAATTAAAAATCTATTGTACCTTTTACCTTTTACATTGGTTTGGTCATATCATGTATTTAGTTCTCAATCTCATCAAGCAATTAAAATTTGAACTCTGGTATATGCATTTATCGGATCCCTTCTGTTTTTGATGATCTTGGGTCCAGAGCTCTTCCAACTTTCCTCAATTCCACCATGAATGCTATTGAGGTACTACTACTTTCCTCTTCTATTTCTCACACTCATTTTTGTTTGTTTGTTTGTTTTTTTTTTTTCCCAATATGAATTCAGTCAGATTCACACTATGTTCAACTTCAAGATGCAATTCAAATTACTCTTTGATGTCTTGTGAATTTTGAAATGGCTGTTTGGGTAAAAAAAAAAAAAGCAGAGAGTTTTGTTCTTAGTTTACAATTTCACAGAAATTATCACTAAAAGCACATGTAAAATTCAAATATCATCTTAAATTGAAAACTATGCAGAAAATTTGCTTATTTTCTCTTAAAAAACTTTCTGTGAGTGTAGTGTATCATCTTAAATTGAATAATGTGATATCTGTTGCTCTTCTGACTAGCCATTTCCTTTTTGAAAAATACCATCATGCTAGAATATTTACTGAAGCAATGACAAATCCATATTGACCTCATTTTTCTTTTTGAATGATAATGATTGTTTTCTCATATTGCTCCCTGAACTTGATTTCCCCTCTTCTGCTTACAGACCCATGATAAACTTCCAGCTACATTGGTCTGGTATACTGTTTTGCTTGTTAAATGGATGCATGCAAAAATGGCCTCCACAAAGCTTAACAGTTCTGCACCATTGCATGGTGTTGTTCGATTAGCATTGCACACAAGTACGTTTAACTACTCTGCAGCTCAAAAACATATTGGATACTCACCAGTTGTCTCCTTGGAAGTAAGTTTCTTAGTTGGGTAGTTCATGATTATCTAACCCTGCTCTCCGTAATAACAATGATGTTGCTCAAGCTCCATAAGAGATTGGAATTCAAATCTAAGCCGTTGCATATTTTTTAATATTTCCCCTTTTTTTGATTTATTCCTGTTTCACCTTTTTTTAATATTTTTTGATTAAAATATAATATTAAAAAAAATTAGTATGTTTTGAATGAATTTTTAATTTTTTTAATAAAAAAACATAAGGAAAAAAAAAAAGGGAATCGTTATTTTATATAGATGGTTACTTTTTGACTTCGGAGCTAAAATCAACCCTTCCCAAACAGTGTAGTTTACTTAGAATTTTTCATATCTCACCGGTTGGAGTAAATATCGAAACATTGATTTTGGGTGAAGGTATTGCATGGTGTTGTTCGATTAGCATTGCACACAAGTACGTTTAACTGCTCTACAGCTCAAAAACATATTGGATACTCACCAGTTGTCTCCTTGGAAGTAAGTTTCTTAGTTGGGTAGTTCATGATTATCTAACCCTACTCTCTGTAATAACAATGATGTTGCTCAAGCTCCATAAGAGATTGGAATTCAAATCTAAGCCGTTGCATATTTTTTAATATTTCACCTTTTTTTGATTTCTTCCTGTTTCACCTTTTTTTAATATTTTTTGATTAAAATATAATATTAAAAAAAATTAGTATGTTTTGAATGAATTTTTAATTTTTTTAATAAAAAAACATAAGGAAAAAAAAAAAGGGAATCGTTATTTTATATAGATGGTTACTTTTTGACTTCGGAGCTAAAATCAACCCTTTCCAAACAGTGTAGTTTACTTGGAATTTTTCATATCTCACCGGTTGGAGTAAATATCTAAACATTGATTTTTGGTGAAGGTTAACAAGTGCTTTCTATACATTGTTTATTAACAAGTGCTTTCTATACCTTGTTTATTATTGAGATTATTGTAAAAAGTGTTTTTAAAATGGTAAAAAAGTTCTGAAATATTTTGAAGGAGTGAAAAGTGTTATGAAATTATTAGTAAAAAGGATATTGCGTTTTAAATTGTTTGCCTGTTTATTTTTTTTATTTTTATTTATTTTTTCCTTAGAACGTTTGTTAACAGAACCCATGATTTTTTAGAACACAAGATTCTCCATGCCCAAATCGTTCTACCACATGCATTTCTAGCCATATAAAATTTATGTCTGAAGATTTTTATCAAATCATTTTGACATATATATGACTAAACATTTTTGTAGTTGTTGAGGTATAGTGGATGCAGTTGGCATTAATTACTCGACCGCATATCGAACTTAAATTAAATTTGAATAAAGATATTTTTGTTATATATATTTGTGACCTGTTGCTTTAATTTCTATGAATATGTAAGCAATGGGGCAGCTATCTCTGTTTGTCATGTCGCTTTTTTATTTTTATTTTATCATAATCAAACCTCAGCTCCACATGTATATATTTGCTGCTATTCATGGCTCCACATATATATATTTGCTGCTGTTCATGGCTCCACATCAGAGCTGCTTTGCTTTCTCTCCTGTGCCCCTCCATCATCAGGTCCCAACTCTTGCCCAAACTTGATGACTTCATGAGGTGCCACCTCAGCAATTGGGACAACACACTCATTGACATTCAACAAAAAACCAAAGAGGTGTTTGATTTAGTCATTTTCTTTTTCTTTTTTCACAATGTTGAACTATTTTTAAGGTACTTGTGTTGCACATTGTTTGTTGTTCAGAAGAGCTTGCCAAGAAACCAAACATGACATGCTTGGTCTCCTAATGAATGGGGGTGAAGAAAACAGATATAATCTAACAGATGAAGAGAAAATTGATCAAACGATAGCAATTTTGTATTCTGGATACGAGACTGTTATGTAACCAAGTATTCTTAAATATTAATGGTGTATTTTCACACCCTACTGTTATGTAATATTTGTGGATATGTTATTTTGTGGGTAATGGTGATTGGTGAATGGGAAAGTGAATTAATGATGCATTTGCTATTTGAATGTAACCTATTATTTCATATTAGTGTTATATTTGGCTCTCGGTTGGTTCATTTCAAAACAAACCAACAACTAACATGAAGGCGTAAATTTGGAAGCGATGTTTTACAGTTTTAAATATTTCTGTATGTATGTTTTGTCTAACTGAGATGTCTCACAGGCAAGAAAACATTGTTAGCATGCTGAGACGACTCGTAGAGGAAAGAAGAGCTTGCCAAGAAACCAAACATGACATGCTTGGTCTCCTAATGAATGGGGGTGAAGAAAACAGAAATAATCTAACAGATGAAGAGAAAATTGATCAAATGATAGCAATTTTGTATTCTGGATACGAGACTGTTATGTAACCAAGTATTCTTAAATATTAATGGTGTATTTTCACACCCTACTGTTATGTAATATTTGTGGATATGTTATTTTGTGGGTAATGGTGATTGGTGAATGGGAAAGTGAATTAATGATGCATTTGCTATTTCAATGTAAGTTATTATTTTATATTAGTGTTATTCAGTTTTATTATATGTATTTTTTTAGTTTTATCACATAAATTAGCACAATTTCAAAAAAAAAAAAGGAGATATTACGGCGTTTTTTTAAAAACGCCACTTAAACCCTAAATATTAACGGTTAGATTTTTAAAAAAGATATGACGGCGTTTAAAAAATGTGGCTAAATATCATGATGACGTCATGATATTGTCAAGTAAGATATTTGGCGGCGTTTTTAAAAATGCTGCCTATACTAATATAACGACGTTTTTAAAACGCCATAAAGTTATACCGACGGCCGCGTCCTCGGCGCTTGGTGCTAAGCGTCGCAAAAAGAATTAGCGGCGTTTTTGACACTGATAGCGGCGTTTTTTAAACGCCGCTAAAAACTGAATTTCTTGTAGTGTTTTGCATTGGGATTCAAAAACTCGGACACTTATTCGGATCCCCTTGCGTGATGGCATATATGTAATTATGGTGTTTACTTGCCATTTCGCATGCATTAGGGTTTAAACACTCGGTTACTTCTTCGGACCCTCTTCCATGATGGCAGATATGTAATTATGGTGTTTATTTGCCATTTCTCATGCACTAGGGTTTAAACACTGGAACACTTATTCGGACCTTCTTGCATGATGGCAGATATGTAATTATGGTGTTTACTTACCATTTCTCGAGCATTAGGATTCGAACACTCGGACACTTATTCGGACCCTCTTGTATGATGGCAAATACGTAATTATGGTGTTTACTTGCCATTTCTCATGCATTAGGGTTTAAAGACTCGGAAAATTATTCAGACCCGCTTGCATTATGGCACATATGCAATTATCGTGTTTACTTTCCATTTGTCGAGCATTATAATTCGAACAGTAGGACACTTATTCGGACCCTCTTGCGTGAGAGCAGATATGTAATTATGGTGTTTACTTACCATTTCTCATGCATTAGGGTTTAAATACTCGGACACTTATTTGCACCCTCTTGCATGATGGCAGATACGTAATTATGGTGTTTATTTGCCATTTCTCAAGCATTAGGGTTTAAACACTCAGAACTGATTCGGAACCCTCTTGCGTGATGGCAGATATGTAATTATGGTGTTTACTTGCCATTTCTTGAGGGTTAGGATTCAAACACTCGGACACATATTTGGACCCTCATGCATGATAGCAGATATGTAATTATGGTGTTTACTTTCCATTTCTCATGCATTAGGGTTTAAAGACTCAGACAATTATTCTGACCCTCTAGCACGATGGCAGATATGGAATTATAGTGTTTACTTGGTAGTTGTCGAGCATTATAATTCGAACACTTTCAAACTTATTCGGACCATCTTGCGTGAGAGCAGATACGTAATTATGGTGTTTGCATTCCATTTCTTACGCATTAGGGTTTAAACAGTCGGACACTAATTCAGACCCTCTTGCATGATGGCAGATATGTAATTATGGTGTTTAATTGCCATTCCACGAGCATTAGGTTTCGAACACTCGGACACTTATTCGGACCCACTTGCACGATGGCAGATATGTAATTATGGTGTTTACCTGCCATTTCTCATGCATTAGGGTTTTAACTCTCGGACACTTATTCGGACCCTCTTGCACGATGGCGGATATGTAATTATAGTGTTTACTTGCCATTTCTCGAGCATTAGGATTCAAACACTGGGACAATTATTCGGACCCTCTTGCATGATGACAGATATGTAATTAGGGGATTTATTTGCCATTTCTGATGCATTAGGGTTTAAACACTCAGACACTTATTCGGACCCGCTTGCATGATGGCGGATATGAAATTACGGTCTTTACTTGCCATTTCTCGAGAATTAGGATTCGAACACTAGGACACTTATTGAGACCCTCTTGCACGATGATAGGTATGTAATTATGGTGTCGACTTTCGATTTCGTTTGCATTGGCAATGAAAAAATCGGACACTTATTTGGATCCCCTTGCGTGATGGCAGATATGTAATTATGGTGTTTACTTGCCATTTCTCATGCACTAGCGTTTAAACACTCGGACACTTATTCGGACCCTCTTGTATGATGGCAGATATGTAATTATGGTGTCGACTTTCCATTTCCTTTGCATTCGGATTCGAAAACTCGGACACTTATTCGGATCCTCTTGCGTGATGGCAGATATGTAATTAAAGTGTTGACTTGCCATTTCTCATGCATTGGGGTTTAAACACTCGGACACATATTCAGACCCTCTTGCATGATGGCAGATATGTAATTATGATGTTTACTTGCCATTTCTCATGCATTAGGGTTTAAACAGTCGGACACTTATTCAGACCCCCTTGAATCATGGCAGATATGGAATTATACTGTTTACTTGCCTTTTGTGGAGCATTATAATTCGAACACTAGAACACTTATTCGGACCCTCTTGCATTAGAGTAGATATGTAATTATGATGTTTACCTGCCATTTCTTGCGCATTAGGGTTTAAACAGTCGGACACTTATTCAGACCCCCATGCAGGATGGCAGATATGCAATTATGGTGTTTATTTGCCATTTCTCATGCATTAGGGTTTAAACACTCGGATACCTATTCAGACCCTCTTGCATGGTGGCAGATATGTAATTATGGTGTTTATTTGTCATTTCTCATGCATTAGGTGTTAAACACTCAGACAATTATCCAGACCGTCTTGCATGATGGTGGATACGTAATTATGGTGTTTAATTGCCATTTCTCGATTATTGGGATTCGAACACTCGGTCACTTATTGGGACCGTCTTGCAAGATGGCAGATATGTAATTATGGTATCGACTTTGCATTTCTTTTGCTAGGATTCGAAAACTCGGACACTTATTCGGATCCTCTTGCGTGATGGCAGATATGTAATTATGGTGTTTACATGCCATTTCTCAAGCATTAGGGTTTGAACACTCGGACACTTAGTCATACCGTCTTGTGTGACAGCAGATATGTAATTATGGTGTTTACTTGCCATTTCTCAGGCATTAGGGTTTAAACACTCGGACACTTATTCGGATCCTCTTGCATGATGGCAGATATGTAATTATGGTGTTTATTTTCCATTTCTCATGCATTAGTGTTTAAACACTCGGACACTTATTCGGACCATCTTGCATCATGGCAGATATGTAATTATGGTATATAATTGCCATTTCTCGAGCATTAGGATTCGAACACTCGGACACTTATTTGGACCCTCTTGCATGATGGCAGATATGTAATTATGGTGTTTACTTGCCATTTCTCATGCATTAGGGTTTAAACACTCGGACACTTATTCAGACTCCCTTGCATCATGGCAGATATGGGATTATACTGTTTACTTGCCTTTTGCGGAGCATTATAATTCGAACACTAGAACACTTATTCGGACCCTCTTGCGTTAGAGTAGATATGTAATTATGATGTTTACTTGCCATTTCTTACGCATTAGGGTTTAAACAGTCGGACACTTATTCAGACCCTCTTGTATGATGGTAGATATGCAATTATGGTGTGTACTTGCCATTTCTCATGCATTTGGGTTTAAACACTCGGACACCTATTCAGACCCTCTTGCATGGTGGCAGATATGTAATTATGGTGTTTATTTGTCATTTCTCATGCATTAGGTTTTAAACACTCAGACAATTATCCAGACCGTCTTGCATGATGGCGGATACGTAATTATGGTGTTTAATTGCCATTTCTCGAGCATTGGGATTCGAACACTCGGATACTTATTGGGACCGTCTTGCATGATGGCAGATATGTAATTATGGTGTCGACTTTCCATTTCTTTTGCTAGGATTCGAAAACTCGGACACTTATTGGGATCTTCTTGCGTGATGGCAGATATGTAATTTTGGTGTTTACATGCCATTTCTCAAGCATTAGGGTTTGAACACTCGGACACTTAGTCATACCATCTTGTATGATAGCAAATATGTAATTATGGTGTTTATTTTTCATTTCTCATGCATTAGTGTTTAAACACTCGGACACTTATTCTCACCATCTTGCATGATGGCAGATATGTAATTATGGTATATACTTGCCATTTCTCGAGCATTAGGATTCGAACACACGGACACTTATTTGGACCCTCTTGCATGATGGCAGATATGTAATTATGGTGTTTACTTGCCATTTCTCATGCATTAGGGTTGAAACACTCGGACAGTTATTTAGGCCCTCTTGCATAATGGCAGATATGGAATTATAGTGTTTACTTGACATTTCTCGAGCATTATAATTCGAACACTAGGACACTCAAACGGACCCTCTTGGGTGAGGGCATATAAGTAATTATGGTGTTTACTTGCCATTTCTTACGCATTTTGGTTTAAATAGTCGGACACTTATTCAGACCCTCTTGCATGATGGCAGATATGTGATTGTGCTGTTTATTTGCCATTTCTCATGCATTAGGTATTAAACACTCGGACACTTATTCGGACTGTCTTGCATGATGGCTGATATGTAATTATGGTGTTTAATTGCCATTTCTCGAGCATTAGGATTCGAACACTCGGACACTTATTCGGACCCTCTTGCCCGATGGCAGATATGTAATTATGGTGTTTACTTGCCATTTCTTGTGCATTAGGTTTTAAACACTCCGACACTTATTCGGACCCTCTTGCATGGTGGCAGATATGTAATCCTAGTGTTTACTTGCCATTTCTCGAGCATTAGGATTCAAACACTCGAACACTTATTCGGACCCTCTTGCACAACGGCGGATATGTTATTATGGTGTTTACTTGCCATTTCTCAAGCATTAGGATTCGAACACTCGGACACTTATTCAGACCCTCTTGCATGATGATAGATATGTAATTATTGTGTCGACTTTCCATTTCTTTTGCATTGGGATTCGAAAACTCGGACACTTATTCAGATCCTCTTGCGTGATGGCCGATATGTAATCATGGTGTTTATTTGCCATTTCTCAAGCATTAGGTTTTAAACACTAGGACACTC